ACAGTGATTCTGTGTATTCCTTTCATCTTCTTTTAATGTTTCCTGCATAATTCAATATTTTACCCATAGAATTATTCAATATTACAATTCCAAAGCTTGAATTTTTTTCTTCAGTTCTTTCACCCTGAGAAATGCTGGGTGTGTTCTTCCTCTTTGGTTTTCTAATTCCAGGTCTTTGCACATTTCTTCATAAAACTTTACTGTGTATTCTTGAGCCACCCTTTGAAATCTTGTGTTCAGCTCTCTTACTTCATTATTTCTTACATTTGCTGTAGCTAATCTCCATTCAAGAGCAAGTTTCAGAGTCTCTTCTGACATTCATTTTAGTCTTTTCTTTCTTTCTTGTCTTTTAATGACCTTTTGCTTTCTTCACTTATGATATTGCTGATGTCATCCCACAACTCATCTTGTTGTTGTTGCTGTTGTTATGTGCTGTCGAGTCAGACCCAACTCATAGCGAACCCTCCTTGGGTTTCCGAGGCAGTATCACTACAGAAGTACACTGCCCCATCTTCCTTCCGAGGAGTGGCTGGTGGGTTTGAACCACCAGCTTTCTGGTTAGCAGTCAAGTGCCTTAGGCACTATGCTACCAGAGCTACTAATCTTTAGTTATTACTATTAATGTGGCAAAACTATTCTTGAGATGTCTCTACATTCAGTTATGGATCAGTGTGTACAAAGGTGCATATATAAGAATGTCTATTCCAGCATTGTTTTTAATCGTAAAAACACAAAAATAAATTATTTGTCTATTAGTAAAGTCTGCTTAAATAAATTATGGAGTATCTAAATAATAGAAGTAACCATGTGGTGTTAAAAAATTAGGTAGATGTACATACATCAATATAGATAAAAATGCAAGATATATTTTTTAGTATAAAAGCAAGATGCTAAACAATATGTATAAAACAGCCTACTTTTTATGAGAGAAAAAAGGGAACATACACTGACTATATCTGGAAGAACACATAATTGCTAAAAGGGCAAGGAGGTCACATCTCCTGATCTCCTCTAACTCCACAAGAGGAAGACAGAGTCACTATCAGTAATCCAAGGCTATGGCTGCAAGGCCAGACATGCTGCTTCCCTCCAGCCCTTTCACCAATCGTTCCTCCCAAAGCACCCATCACCTCTCTTCTGGGTTCGATAATTCACTGCAGTGGCCACACAGAGCTCACAGATTATGGGGTTTATTAGGGAAGCACCAGGCTACAATTCAAGTTCAGGAAAAATGCTCAGTCTCTCTCCCAGCCCACCATCCCTCAGCCAACAGTCTCTCACAGTCTCTCTCCCAGCAGTACGTGTCCCTTGGTGTCTCTCTCAGCAATGCGTGTCTCTTGCATCTCTTTCCCAGCAGCACATGTCTTTCAGGAGTGCACGTCTCTTTCAGCAGCACATCTTCCTCAACCAGCAGTCAGAGAGACCTCTGCCTCTAGGAGGCCTCCTTTTGAGCCTAGCAGAGTGGCCAAACCAACCAATCATAACATCAGAATTCTAAGCACCTGAGAGAGAGCAGAACCTCCCAGAACATTTTTTAGTACCACTCCCAATAGAAGGACCCCAGGTGGACAACTTTAGCAATCAGGAGCTCCTCAGTTGCTCATGGCAAACTCCACTTTGGAGTTTACAAAGACTTATGGGTAGAAAGGTCACACTAAGTAATTTATACACTGCAACAATAAACAGCTAATAGTTGCAATCTTTGGGGAACGCAGGTGGGTAGGGATGAAGATTAATTAATTTTATTTAAAAAAAGATCTTAGCTTATAAAAAAATGAGAATCAAAAATCCACACCTATTTGTATAATGAGGACTTTCCATATAAGATAATCATTTGATGGGTTTCTTCAACTCTCATTAAATGCCATTTATTTTGAGGTGAAGAGGCCCAAGATATCCACCCACATAGACCATCATTCTACATGTTTGGATCTACCAACCTGCCCTTGTACAGCCCAGGCATCTCTGTGGTTTCTGGAGATGTCGAAGGGTCCCAGATGCTCAGGATTAGAAAGAGACCTCAGAGGCCACGGGCCACACCACTCACGTGACCCAGGAAGGCCTCTCACAGCTTCTCAGCCCTCTGATTGCCCTGATTCTGTTTCTATCCCTGACTTTTGACCCATTCCACTTGATTCAGATCCAAATCTCTAGAACTGGCCTCCCACTCCAGTGATGTGTCATCTGCAAACTTCACATGCTTGTTCTCCATTCCAACACCCAGGACAAGGTTGGAAACATGAAACTCTGAGCCCTGGCAGAACCTAATCTTTGTGATATTTATTTAATGCTGTTGGCCTAAGGGAGCTGTGCCAAAGAAATAACCAGGAGGAAAATGCTCCTCTTGGAAAACAGAGAGCCTGGGTGTGGACTGAGAGGTCCTCCGACCAGCCATATCAGGATGCCCAACACCCTGGACACACTCACTCTGTGGGCAGAGTCTAAGAGGACAATGGCTAAAGGTTAGGCCCCACATCCCCCACCTTCCTAAGTGGCTGACAGCCTACAAACTACAGCAGTTTAGAAAGAAAAAGAAAGGACAACCAGCATTTATTTAGTACCTTTGGCATAGCAGGGACCTCGACATGTTTGCTCATTGATTCCCCACAGCAACCTAAATGGGAAGCCTTGTAATCACAGTCTACAAGTGGGAAAGACAAGGCTCTGAAAGGTACATTTGTTGTTGGTCTAGGAGTACATAGCCAGCTAGCTAATACATGGTAGAGCTAGAATTTGAAGTTAACTTTGATTTTTTTAATGGCCCTATCCTTGTATATCTTTTAGGAGCTCTGGTGGCAAAGTGGTTAAACCATTTGGCTGCTAACCAACAGATCGGTGGTTTGATCCCACTAGCCACTCTGCAGGAGAAAGATGTGGCAGTCTACCTCTGTAAAGGTTTCTCAAAAACCTCACTGCCATCGAGTCAGATCTGACTCATAGCGACCTCTCCTTGGGTTTCTGAGGTGGTATCTCTAGGGAAGTAGATTGCCCAACCTTCCTTCTGAGGAGCGGCTGGTGGGTTTGAACCGCCAGCCTTCTGGTTAGCAGTCAAGTGCCTTAGGCACTATACCACCAGAGTTTACAGCCTTGGAAACCCTATGGGACAGTTCTACTCTGTGCTATACAGTCACTATGAGTCAGAACCGACTTGATGGCAAGTGGGTTTATATAACTTTGGCCTACATTTTCATCACTGGAATGGACCATAATTTAGTTTAGTTTTTTTTTTTTTAAATTATTATATGATCTTATTTCAAAATATGAGCGAGCTATCTATGCATTCCTGACTCTTCCTCTTATCAATGCTCTCCTATATATTTATCTCCATAAATAGGATTTTAAAAGTTATAAGTATACATATTACCATTTGTATACAGATTACAATTCGCCATTTCAGAGAATTATCAGTCTCCAGAATAAAACTTGGCCCCATTTTATGGATAAGTAAACTGAGACACAGCATGACTAAATGCAGTCAGTCACACAGTGAGTGCCAGGCCAGCAGAAGAACCAAGGTCCTGTTGACCTGAGTCTGGCATCCCATCCACCAACACATTCCACCCAACTGGACGTTTCATCTTAACACCCCACACCAAATCGCAGTCCCTTTTCACCACTAGAATCCTTGTCTCTCCCATCTCTCTCTCCAACGAGACCATATTTCTCACCCACCTTCAGCAGAGAAAGTTGGTCTTGAGACCATTCTGTTTAGGATCATTTCGGAAGGCTGAAGGGGAGGCCTGAAGATAATTACCCTCCTCCTCTCTCAAGTTCTGAGGCAAGGCAGAAGATGGAAAAGTGAGCAGGCAAGAGTCACAATAGCATCTCTGTTCCGGGCCAAGTGGGTTTTAGAGAATATGGCTCACATTGCTGGACAGGGAGTTTCCTCGCACTGGGCCCTCCTCACGCTGACACACACTGTGAATCACACAAACCCATCTCACCCTCAGCAGCGTGGGAGCACTAGGGAGGGCCAGGCTTGCTACACTCAGAGCCTGGGGGAGCAGAGAGCAGACAGGCCAGCCCCCAGACGGACAGGCGGACAGACAGTGCCGAGTGTCTCCTTCCAAATTCACAAAGCAGATACTCCGATGAAAAGTAAAGGATGTGGTGAGAAAGGCCGGCGGGGAGCTCTTCTGGAGTGCCATTCCTATCAAAAGAAGCTTCCAGAACCAGGAAGATGTCTCCCCCGCAACTTGTGTGCCTACATTTCTGCTGCTCTGAAAGACCAACCTGCTCTGACCGATTAAAATAAGAAGAAACCCCCTTTAAAGGTGAGTTTTCAGCAGTTTACAAAATAATTGCAAACTCATGTCCCAGTCAGTTCTCGCTTCCACCCACCTCAATCTCAATAGGCACATAATAAATAAATAAATAAATAAGTAGAGTGCAAAATCTCGCTGACGACATTTTCAAACGTCTGCTAGTTCATCGTGACACATCACAAGGCTCTAGCAGCTCAAATTGCTTATCAGGTTTTCTTTTGAGGTCGTCCTCACTGGGCTTTTCTCCAGGCAAAAGACAGAGGCTGATGTATCTGAAGATACTTGAAGACATA